GGATCAGCCCGAAAACACGGAGGATTTGTATCACCTGATTAGTTCATAATTCTGGTCAAACTTGCAGGTCATTTGGCTACATTTAAAATTTTGTTTAGATCTGGCCAAATGATCTGCAAAATTTGACCAGAATTATTAACGATTGGTTCCTCTTCCTCTTCCGAGAGATCCTTCATAAATTCTGATTATTTTTTAAAACTTCGAACAAAGCTTTCACGGCAATCACTTAATCACTTCAAGGAAAAATTGTTTGATTCAAATAAAAAAAAGTTCCATTGAAATTTATCGGGTTGTTGTCGAGAAAGCTTCGCTTAAAGGTTTGAAAAAGGTTTGCCTAAATTTTTTAAACTTTGAACTAAGGTTTCCTTGATAATAACTTGATAAATTTACAAACTAGTAGAATTCGAATAAAAAAAATTTTTATCGAAATTTATCAGGTGGTTGTTGAGAAAACTTCGCTAAAAATAGTCAAAATTTATGTGAAAGAGCTAGTGAAAAAAATGCAAAACTCAAAAACTGATAATGGGAGCCTAACTTTATACATACGAAGTAGATGTTATATATATATATGTAATCATGAACCATAGACTCCTAGAGGGTGCAGGCTGTGCAGGCTGCGCAGTAAATTCAAAAAAGCTTCGATTTGCCCATCCCTAGTTCTTCACATTATTGCTCTATAATTATTATCATTAAATTATTTCATTTTCGTTTCATTAAAGTATCTGCTGGTAATTATTTCTATTTATTAAATTTTTAATCCTTGTTAAGGAATATTTTTATTTGTCATTTTAACAGATTTAAATTGATAGGAATGGATATGGTGCTTGGTTGGATTTCGGATGTATTTGGCAAAAACTATGCACTTAAAGCTTCTTATGTAGCTGAATATGTATGGAATTCTGATCCTAATTTAGATTCTTTTTCAGGATTGTATCTTAAAGAGAATTCAGGAAGTTCGGATTGCTGAAAATGAATAACTTTCCTCAAAAATAAGAATCTATTGTATTAAAGTATACATATGAAAATAAATATCTATTATTTTAAATAAAATATATTTATGTTTTTTAAAAAAAAAATTAAAAGTATAGGCTCAAAACCAAAGCAGGTTTCATTATATGGTTGAGCATCGGAATTTAGCGAAGAATCTTAGATTTAGAATTTACGCATTCGTATTCGGATAATATTCGCATTCGATGAATATTCGAATAACCTTATTTTATTCGAATAATAAATAGTACTTATTCATCATGTGAAATTCTGGTTATTGGCTGCTTCTCATCTAATATCTATATCAGTTCACATAAACTATATACTGTATATTCAGTTAAAGCTAAACAGGATAATATGTTTTCAAGCCATCTTAATCATATGTTCGAATTTGGGTCATCTCAAATATATCAGGGTCGTATACACTTAATGAGACAGGCAATACATTAGAACGGCCTATCTGGCAAGCAGATATCAAAGAAGTAAATTTAACAATATTGTCGTATTTTTTTTTTTTTTTTTTTTTTTTTTTAAGGGTGGCATTTTTTGCCTAGGTCTTTATTACGTATATTATAATTACAAATTATGTGGTAACTATAGTACAACTAGTAAGACTTCAGCTTAGGACTATTTTATCCACAAATGCATTTCCCTACCTGATTTATCTAACCCTACTTTTAGTATATATCAGGATTTTCTATACTATTATGTTATGTTTAATATATTTCCCATATACTATATAAACTACCAGATTGGTGGGATTTTTTCACCATCGTACCTAAGTACTCCTAATTTGGTATACACACCTATCCATACATAGGATCCGACTCAGATGAATCCTCAGATCGCTCTTCTAATCATCCAGCCAATCTTTATACCTTTTTAGTGGTAGACTTATCGTTTGAGTATATGAACAGTATATCCATTTATGTATTTCTCAAATTGGTATAGACCTAGACATGGGTGTAATTCTAACTAGTAGAGTTACATCCAATTGAATTTTGCATAGCAATATTACTTCCAACTTATGGCTGTATTAGTTGGTGTTTAGAATTGGTATATCTGGATTGATCTTGTGTTTCATCAAAGACTTCCAATTGGGTGTGACTTATACCAGCAATATGTGAGTCTTTTACAAATACACAAATATTCTGTAACACCTCTCTATACTAACTATTTCATATTAGTATAGATTGCCAGATGTGTTTCTTATTTGGTTAGGCTAATTCTTTACCACAGAATCCTTTATATTTGCCACTTTTCTCACTATTCCAGTTTGTACAACAGTTGTGTTATCCTTCTAATCAAGATCCCAAGACTGCCTTAGGGTTGTTAGTGCTACCTTGCTGCCTGCAAGATTTACTCACACAACCTTTTCTATCATCAAACCTTCTGTAACACTGCTATCACATGTAGTGCTCTTCTTCTCCATAATAGATCTCTTTTCAGAAATTGTCTAAACCAAATTCATACTTTACTTAAATTTTCACAGGGTTTTGCATTTAAATACTCTAGAAACTGCTTCTAGTAGGACTTGAACCAAAGACCTTGGTTGTGGGAGGTAGGTGCTTAAACCACTAAGCTATAGGGCTCTAACCCCACCATATTGTTGTATTAATATATTTAATACACATATATTCAAGTAAATATGAAGTTGAAAATTATTGTGCCTATGGAATATAACTAGTATTAAGCATAACAAACATCAAAAGGTACCTTTAAGGTACTTAACACACGATATTCCTTTAATATATAGTATAAGATTATTCTTGTGTTTATAGATCTTAGAGCGTTCTTATGTGCCTTAATCAATAAGTCAAAAAAAAATCTTTAAAAGTTTTTGTCATAATAATCGTAATTTGATAAAATTTATTATGAAATAAAATATTTTTCTTAGTAAAAAATATTATGCGAGCTTCCAATTCAATTTACAAACCTTTGACTGCAAACCATCTTTTTTTATACTTGTCTTGGCAAAAGTTGTTATTAATCGAGTATTTAAAAAGATCATTCAGGTAACTTTATTATGAATCCAACTTTCAGTGTCAATGAATTATTATTTTATTTATTATGCTGAATGTTTTTAAGAAAAATAATATATATGTATATATATATGTCAAAAAGCCTCAAAAAACAATTACAGAAACTTACCATCTTTTAGCCTTTACTTACATAACAACTATTTCGACGATAGTAATATAACAACTGAATTTAACGAAAACCCAAACTTATTGACGATGACATTTGATAAATAGAAAAATATTAATCGTTCATGTATCAATTGCAATTTTATTTGATTATATAATAAATGAGCATCGTCATTAGCTAATCACATCGCACTTCTGAAATCTGTGCCAGGTTATGCGTGATCTACAAATCAGATTTCGAAGATCAGGTGTAACGTAGCACGATCAAAACAAACGTTCGTTTTGTCAAAATCCTTCTTTCTCAAAAATCTGAACAATAAGTGTACATTATTGGATAGTTAATATGACCATGTGAAGTTTTTTCTGTGATATTTTGCAAAACTGATTACGTAATTTCATGTAAAAAATATCATGGCAAAAAAATTCACATGATCATATGAAATGTCGAATAACATACTAAATTGTCGCATAGCGTAATTTAACTTTTACGTAATAACGATAAGTAAATTATCTTGCGTGATCGATCGATTTGACGTACAGTACTTAAATTTTGCATGATCGACAAAACCGTGTCACATAAAGTCACATGAAAATAGACTAAACGTTTAAAGCCGATAGCACCAAATATTTAAATTTAGATTTTCTTTATCCCAGATTTCACATCTAAAAAAAAAATGTCCAAACGTCCGCCGCCACCAATATATAATGATATATCTGAAACGATTGGCAACACTCCAATAGTTCGTTTAAACATTTCCACCACTAGTTCTGATACATCTCTATCAACATTGAATAATATAGAATTCTTAGCCAAATTAGAATATACAAACTGTTTGTCGGGAAGCATTAAAGACCGTGTAGCCAAAAAAATATTATTTGGTAGACTTTTTTATATTAAATATTATTATAATTACTGGATTAAATTCAATTTAGTGCTCAGATTTTATTTACAATAAACAGACACTGAAAAATCAAATCAAATCGGACCAAATTCAACTTTAATAATACCTACAAGTGGCAATCTTGGTTAGTAAAAAAATTTTTTTAAGAAAAATTAGGTTGTATCCCAAAGTAAATCTGTTTTAAAAAAAAATAATAATCATAAATAGGTATAAGCATCGCACTTTTGTCTCAAAGAAAAGGATATAAAACCATCACACTTGTGCCGGAACGTACAAGCAACGATCGTATTCGTATTTTAAAATCATTAGGAGTTGAAATTATAAGAACACCAAATGAAGCTAGACCTGGATATGCGGAAAGTAATTTTGATTTGGCAATAAAATTGTCTTCGGAAATTGCAAATTCAGTTGTAATAAATGAGGTAAACATTTAAATAAAGTTATAAATATTCAATTTTAAATATTCAATTTTAAATATTCAATTATAAATATTCAATTTATAATTAATACTAAAAAATTAATAGTTTACAAATCAAAGCAATGCACAAGCACACTACGAAGAAACATCGGAAGAAATTTATACACAAGTTGAGGGGAGGCTTGACGTTCTTGTTGTTGGAGTAGAATCCGGAGGTGCGAATTAGAAATTATTATCTATCATTAAAATCATTAAACTGTCAACTAACTTTTATCACCGTAGGTACTATAACTGGACTTGCTAAAAACCTTAAGGGACGAATACCAGGGCTAAAGGTACTTGAAATCGTTACCTTAAATCTTAAATATTAATTACGAATGGTTCACAAAAAAGTCAAATTTCAATACACATATTCATAAATTAGTAAAATATCTTTTCTAAGTAGTCACTTAATTCACCTATTTGGTTTATATGTAGGTTCTGGCTGTGGAACCTCAATATTCAAGAATACAAGAAAATAAGTTGACTGATTCATCAACCATAAAGGTGTTTATCACAACAAAAATTTCAATATTGTTTTAATAAATTATTCCAGACTATCTTAAGTGACACTTATATCTCAAAAGGAACAAAAAGTTGAGGATATTGGCAATAATTTCACGCCTTCTATTTTGGATGCTTCTCTTATTGATGCATGGGCAAAAGTCAGTGATAAAGAATCATTTACTATGACAAGAAAATTGATTAGTGAGGGATTTATGGCTGGTATGCTTACTTAACCTTGATATATATATATATATAGCATTTTCATAATAATTGGTATTGAGCATAAATTTCTTTTGAATAGGACCATCATCAGGATCCGTTGTTAGTGCAGCCTTATCTTATGCGCAGAAGAATGTTCTTCCAGACACTAAAGCGCGTATACTTTGTATTTTGAATGATACAGCAAGAAATTATTCTAGTACTTTGTTATCAGAAGATTGGCTTTTAGAAAATGACTTGATGGATGAGCAAACTATCCAGAAACTTGAGTACCAAAGAATTGAAAAATATAGAGCGGTAACCAGAGACTTTTATATAATATTATGACTTAATTTAGCATATTGTATTATATTGTTAGCTTTTACTATCTTTTAACAACGTGAATGTTTATTACTTTTAGGCAAGCGTAGAAGATCTCCAATTACCAGCGGCTGTTACTGTACTCCCTAATGTACCAGTAGCCCATGCACTTGATCTAATGGTTGAAAGGGAATTTTCACAGTTACCAGTGACCGATTCGCATCGTAAACTTCTTGGTTATGTATCATTAACGTCTCTTCAAGATAAGTTAGACTCGGGTGATGCAACCTTAACAGATGAAGTTTCCAAATGGATGTTTACCTTTGGAAGTAGAAATTCGCAAAATCAAATACGCCGTCAAACGTATCAAATAATCACACCTGATACACCATTAGATGAATTAGCAAAGTTTTTTGAGAAACATAGTTTTGCCATTGTTACAGATAGTGAAAGGAAATGGGCTCTAGCTGTTACAACCAAAATGGATTTGATTCGTTTTTTACGCCATAGGTAACCTGACCACATAAATTAATAAAACCATTTATAATAATATTAAGTGTATTTCTTTTTTTGATTAAATATGGTATATGACCAATGTATTAATTAAACTGAAATTAATAGAATAAATTAATTTTTTGTGAATGTCAAAACTATATGACATTATATAATATAGTTAATATAATTATTCTTAAAAGCCAAATAACATTACACGCGTACGAATGGTGGAACGAAATAATTTCGATCATACAATGTTAATCATTGAAAATTTAATTTTAAAATTGTGAACAAAATTTTATTTTGAATTAATGTAATCTTTATCAAGTGTGAATGGCCAACACGTTATCATAATTTTTCAATCCCATATATATAAATTATATACATATAACGATAAATAATCATTAAAAATTTAATAAACAAAATAATGTTAAATTATAATGACTAATAATACTAAAATTTTATAATAAAGTTTAGGTTAAAATCATGTATACTAAACTCCAGCCTACAAGCCACAAACTCCAAAGAATATTTACTAATCCATTATTATCTTTGAAACCAATACTATTAGATGTACCCAAAGAATCATCCATAGGTATAGTAGCAGTCACTGGCTGATACACAACGACAGTACTGGGAGGATAATATGTTTCATATGATGCTACAGTTCCATCAGTTGTATAAGTTATAGTTGTTGTATAACCTGGATATACACGTGTAATAGTTTGTGTATACGTTGTAGTTGTGAATTTTGTAATTGTCTTATCATTTCCAATTGAAGTTTTTTGATCCGGAGCTGTACTTGTAAATACTTTTCCGGTAGCTTTTGTTTCAGTACTATTAAGAGAATTGATAACATTTTTAAATTCAAAGTATTAGATTACAAAAATTAAAAGTAGATTTCAAAAAACATACTCAATACGACAATTTTTTGTATCTGTGCATTGATTAATAGTCGTAGTTGTTTCTTTTGGTGGTAGAGTTATCGGCGGTCTTCCACTATTAGCTAGACTATGTGAACTTGAAACGGGCGTCATTGTCTGCACTAAAGATGTTTGTGTTGTCTCTTTAGATGCATTTGCTGTTGTAAAAACTGCAGGTGCTTGCGTTGTAGGAGTCGTAAAAATTGCAGGAGCCCCTGAAGTTGTAAAATTTGTGAATGCAGAAGTTTGAGTTGTTATAATTGTTATAATAGTAGATGTAACCATTGTCAGAATTTCAAAAGTCGAAGAAATTAGTGTTGTTTCTGTACCTGCGGAAGTTACCGATGCTTGCACTGTTGTTGTCGTCGCTAAAGTTGCAGAAGAAGTTGCAGAAGTTTGAGCTGTTATAATTGTAGATGTAACCATTGTCAAAATTTCAGAAGTCGAAGGAATTTGTGTCGTTATATTTGTAGATGTCACTTCTGTACCTGCTTGCATTGTTGCCGTCACTGAAGCAGTTGCAGAAGTTTGAGTCGTTATAATTGTAGATGTAACCATTGTCAGAATTTCAGAAGTCAAAGAAATTTGTGTTGTTATATTTGTAGATGTCATTTCTGTACCTGCGGAAGTCACCATAGTTGCTGGCAACGTTTGACCGGAGCCGAACTTTATAAAACTTGTTACGAAAAATAATAGCAAGATCATGCGAGTCCCGTTTAAATGCATATTTGGTGACATTTTTACTAAAATTCTTTATTAAGTCAACTCTCCCTATAACGAATTGATGGTTCTAGAAGGAAAAAAGAATTCGTTATATAGAATTACTATGTTTTCATAAGAGCCCAACCCCAATACGCAGAGTTCGTTAAGAGAGAGCTGACTGTGTATCTGAAGATCTCAGTCATTATTTGTAATTTTCTTTGAAGACACGACTACAGAGATTGAACAGATGTTCATTATTTGCTTGCACAAAGGCTATAATTTATAAAAATAAAAACATAATGACTTATTAATATTTACTTTTTTAGCTAGTCTTACATTTTTGGAAAAATAAAACGTTATTTAGGAAATTTTATAAATGCGCATAGTAGTACGTACGTAGTATTTTCTTTGTTATGGAAAAGTTTTTTTTTTTTACTTTTTATATCAAATAACGTATTGACGTTATGTCTAAATTTTATATGAAGTGAAGGTGACGTGAAAAGGTAACTACCTTTGACCTTCTAAATGTCTGCAACTATAATAGTAAAAATATCTTGAGAAAATTTTCACCCGAATATTATTAATTTATTTTATACTTCGAATAGTCGCATAAGAATGATTTTTACCCGGGTTTCCGTTTGTACACAAGTATCAGTATTTTTAATTAATACACCGTGATCTTGATATAGTTATTAAGTATTAATACCGTAATGTACAGATATATATAGATCTTTGAATTAAAATCTTTCAGATTAAAATAATAATTCGGTAACGTATATTACGCACAACATTTGGGTAATTGTTTTTGAACGTGAACCGAAAGTTTCATGGCAGTATTTTCAACGACCTGTAAAAAATGATAGCAAAATAGATACATGTGATTTAGGATTAAAGCATTGGGTTACAGTAATCTTTCAATTATCGTTATCGTTCGTTATGATAAGCTAGGCCTCAAAATTAAGTATTAAGTTTTTAATTCATAATTTTTTTTTATTGGCTTGTAACTTGTCTTTTAATCATACACGTAGACATATGGTCAACTCTACAACGAACTTCTCCATAATTAACTCTCGATGTAACGAATTAAAAATCCTAAATTTACATTAGCTCTATATAGAAGCGTTATGGCTTGTTAAAAAAATATAGTAATTTTGTATAACGAACTTCTTTTTGTTTTGTTTATTTTTGCATCCAGAATCATTAGTTCGTTATATAAAGTGTTGACTATGTATGCATATTTTATGAAACCACTATATATAATATATATATATATATTTATGTTGAACCGATAAACAAAAAATGGACAAAGATCTATTTCACTTAAACTATAAAAAAGCATTTACAATATCGAACTTGCAAACCAAAAGTTATACTAGACGATAATCTATTTAGATTACAAAAAGTGTTCACGAGGTTAAGATAAATCGTCATTTGAAATTTGAATGCATATTTTTCAACAATACTTTTTGTTTCTAAAAGTTTCTAGTTTTAACATGCTGTGAACACTTTTTTGATACATAAAAAATTTTTCATCCAAAGAACTTAATAGCTTTGAATATAATGGCACCCTATATAGACTTCGGCCAGTTACTTCGACATGGTAAGAAATTTTTTTATATAAATTTACATATAAAAAAAAAGTCAAAAGCTGCTATCGTTATGACAATGGCGATAGTAATAGAAAAGAAAGTTTGTTATTATTTTGTAACCAAGATTGCGGTTACCATTTTTACGGGAGACGCTAGGGTCGTTTAGTATGTCCAATTTAGTAACGTGTGATATGATTTGTGATCCGTGTATTCGTAGTTAGAGCTCCGAATCGGAATAGAACAGATATATTCGAGTCAACTGACCAGCCTGACATTATTAAGTTTAGTCAATTAACAAACTTGACAGGTTTAGTCAGGTGAGTTATAAACTATCACCAAAATGCTACATACGTAAGTGCTAATATACGTAGACTGGAACTGCCTAAAATTTTTCTAATAGTTGAACCGTGTTAACCACTTAATTCAGTGAGCATTAACATAATTCTCTCGAAACTATGACAAATTTAAATGGTTCCAATTCTTAAGCGCCGATTAAAAAAACTTTCGATTACAGTATAAATCAACGTATAAATACAAGCAGGTCTATATTTAGGGTTAATTACTATTTAGGTAGTGATATGCTTTCACCTACGTATGTACGTATGTACGTACTTCAACTGTAGAAATTATTATATAAATATGCAAAGTTAGCTAGTGCAAATTGTGTGAATATACTTTCGTTTATTGAATTATTTAGAAATAGTTAATACATTGAACTAAATTTAAATCATTTCGATTTTATATTGAATTCTAAGTTGTAAAACTGGTGACAATGGACTAAATAAATGAATGTGAACTAACTTTTTGAGATTTTGATCTCACTAAACTATCATGGAATTGCATAAAGGCTACAATATCAGATATCACAGAATTATGCAAAATATGTTTTAAAAAAATAGCACATCACATTAACCACACACTAAATTTGTCTTAGTCGCAACAGAAAATTAGACCGGGGTAAACTCGTCACCCAGAATCATGATAATGATATTTAGTAAAATATTAATTGATTCAGTGATTTTTTTCTTCAATTCTTCAAAATGAAAAGCGATCGTTGCAATCTCGACAAAGTGATTCCTTTAAAAGCATAAAATCCAATAAACACAATATTCTAAAAAAATATGCGAAAAAAGAAATAAAATTATAAATGCAATTGCACCGGAAGACCTTGAGATTTTATTG